GCCACTGTATCTTCTAAAGTCTCTAAAAGGCACGAGTGTGTATACCGACAAAATACATGTGACTGGTAGCATATTCCATGGCATACCACTCGAACGCCTGACACAACTAATATATTTTTTTCATAGTCAGGATTCAGGATTATATAGAACAAACATCAAATTAGTTTAGTATACAGCTAGAGTATTGTTTTGTCTGAGGTCGCCAGCTTCGCAGGGTCGCTGCTTCTGGTTTTTTTCAAAAACCTTACCATTTGACGTGTCGTATGAGCAGTATGACGTTACAAAGCCTCGTTTTTCCATTGACTCGTCCGAACGAAATTGTACCAACATATAACTCCCGGATGAAAACGTGTCAGAAGGTATGTTACTACCACAAAACGTTCCAAGAACTGGACTATCAGGATATTCTCCATCTCTAACTTCAACAAAATCACCGTGCTGGCATGAGGGGCCTGGAGCCTGAAGGTCGAATGCGGAGAAGGAAAGTTGGATTTTGTTCTTTGGGAGAGAAATTAACCAGGTGCAGCTCATGTTGGCAGGATACGTGTCCTGAGTATCATAATCTGGACTGTAAATTGTGTCTGATGATTTGGTGAGGTAAATATTGCTGTTCCAAATCTCAGATTTGTTCCTGGAACATCTTGTTTCTGAAAAAAGAAAAAAAGAGAGAGAGAAAATAAATATTAGTGAGACGTATCTCCTAGTATGTTGGAAGTATCCCCTTAGTGAGCACAGTGAAATTGAATAACGCCAAGTGGTTCGTTGAAAAAAAAAATAACATAAAAATTGGTAAATCGTTGTAAGTTTCTTCACATGCCTGCATGACAAAGAGTAAATATTTGGAAAATACATTACGTACGAATTTGCACTTGTGAAATAAAACGCTATCTTCAGTTTAATTTCTTAAAGATATATCGCGCTGACAGAACCATGCATGCTAAAGTGACAATGACTCACCACTTTGAACAAAGAACCAGAGCAGGTTAAGGACATCTGCGAGAACAAAATAAGGACGATTTTTTTAGGTAACATTCATGTTGTCACTGTTTTAACTGAGACCAATTTACAATGGAGGCTTTTGCACAGAAATACCTTCTACATTAATTTGAAAGACCTTGCGCGTTGACGTCAGTGCATTCTAGTCGCAGTTCCAGTGCTAGAGTACCTTCACTCAGAGGCAGTCTGGTTTTCATGGTAAAGTTCCTGTCCTCTAAAGCATTCTGTGCTTTTTCATTGCATGCAGTTTTTTTCCTATTAACCTAAGAGCTATCGCGCTTGACGACTCCTTGAAAACAAGAAGGTAGCGTTGTTGTCAACGTTTTGGTAAAACCATTTTAATTAGTAAAGTTAACACTCAGTCAGTAAACGACAAAATACTATACTAGGACTGATCAACCGTTTATCGTCAAAACATAATCTCCCCTCCATCCCCCTCCCCCCACAACTCTTCAGTGCACCTGAGTAAAAAAAAGCGAGAACAAGAGGACCACAAGCCGACGTCTCAGACTGAAAGCAACAAGCAGAATAAAGGATATTTCCAGTCTGGTACTAAGTGATACTAAGACTCAACCAAAGCACAGTCAGCGTATAGCACTGTAGAAACAATTTGCTAGTACTAGCACTAGCGTTTAAAACATGATTTGTAAATCATTCAATTTGGCCGGTCTATTGCTTATTTGATTAGAAAGGCTTAGAAGACAAAAACATGTACATAACGCAAAAGTTCTTTACAACCTGGTCCAAAATTGTTCCGTTAAAGTTTTATTGTAGACGATCTTTTTTTAGCTCTTTTCAAGCTTTGGCTTTTCATCATCACTAAACACATTTTTAGAACTGTAATGATATATGTTCTTACACGGCTCTCCGTGTGAAGGATCGACAGAGCGAGCGGGAGATAAAACGCCATTTTGTAACTATGGCATCGCGTAACCAAAATATAAAATAGAGTAACATTTTTGTAATTAAATACAACACTGTTACCAAGCAAGGTAATTTCCAGGAAAAAATTGATGCTGTGATGGTATATGATGGGTCGTCAGGAACGCGAGTAGCCTTCTTTGGCTTATACAGATTATGAAATGCCTCTTTATGTTCTGTTGATGCAAATTTCATTTTACATTTAACGAAAAATGTAAAATACAAGTAGTCTCTAGCCGTGGTTTCAACTAAAGTGCTGGAAAGAATACTTACAAACAAGCCTGAATAGAAATGATTTTGCCATCTGCGTGGTCTTGTTCTGGTGTGCAACTCAACCACCAGTTTTGTTTGCATTAGAAATGTTGACGCAGGCTGTCAATATATGCAGATTTCGGCCGAAGAAGCAAACAGTTATTTCCTAATCCACGTAAGCAAAGAAACTGAGCAATTAATTTAAAACGATCCCACAATAAACAAAGGAAAATTTCATCACACCTGAGATGGGCATAATCCGAAAGGATTATGTGGCATTCGACCAACAATAGCTCAGTTAGCACAAAAGCTTCGTTTTCAATGGACATGAAGTACATGCACGAGCATAAGCAGAAGGAAAGAGGAACGGTTCATTTTTCTTGTTCTAATCGTTATTTTGAAACTGATTTAATTCTGGTGATCTGGTGAGCTCGACATAAAAAAGACTGTGGAGCCGGTGTACATTTATTCGTTTTTAAACTCGTCATCGTGAAGTACGTTTAACTATCTGCACTCATTTCTCAGATCTTCTTTCACCTACACTAACATGTTTAGTTATGCTGCTTATATTGTTCCATAAGACCGACAAAACAATTTCGTGTCTTTTCCATCACATGTTTTCTCACCGTTTTCTATGATGGCTCCCTTAACAAACCAACAGTGACTGCAAGTTTAACCTTGGAGCAACTGCTATCTCTGTGTTTTAACGAGAAGTTAAAAAACCAACAACGAAAAATTTGTGAAGCTTCGTAACTGTCAAGTAAAGAATATTTAGTATTTAATTACTTGGAATTACCAACGAATATCATCATTATACATTAGTTTCTAGTATCTCTCTACCTACCACCCGAGTAAAGGAATCGGCTTTTTTTTTTTTATCACCGATTATCACTCCTCTCAATTTGGACAGCTTTAATTTTACGGCATTAAAAATTGATGCAGTAGTTTCGAGTCCGTTTTGTTACGGACAGAGAACGAACCCTCTGGTTCTGTGGTCATTTCGATCGAGTCTACAACGAACTGAAGCCGGTTTCAACCAACGGTAGGTATACATATAAGCACTATACCTTCTTATAGTCCGTTAATGCATTTTGCTTTTAATAAAAATTTCACTTTTGTGAAACAAAATTCCAAATGGAAGGTGATTCAGCAGCAGCTCAGTAAATGGGATTTTTATCTGAGTGGTACTCCATGAAAGCAATTTACTCCAAATGGAACGCTTTAAGTAAAGAGCTTTTCGGTTTTATGGGAACTGAAAGTGCAATTAGAACTCGGTATTTATTTCCCTTGAGTCAAAAATGCTGTCAGTATCAAATTCTCGTCCCCTTTTAAAATTTCTGGCACCGAAATAGGTCGAAAGTTTTTATTTTTGGCGGAACATAAACATGCAGGCAACCAAATACACTGGAAGTTACTGAACAGAAAAAATTATTCGCAATTCGCATTCAAAGTCGACCAAAAAATAATAATGATAAAAATTTACTCTCAGAAAAAGCTGAAAAATTCATCAACTGATAAAATCTGCGACCTGCATCATCCAAAGAAAAATAAGAATCATCCTAAAGCTTTAATTACAGCAGGAGAACATATACACAGTAATATTAACATGGAAATTTAAGTAATTATGATCAAATGTTAAGAAGTTGTAATTTTGTCAAATGCACTTTCACTTAGATAATTCTATTTCAGCGCTAGTAATTTTTTTACTTCAAATAAATGACATTTAATTTTTCCTTGTTATTTAAATTTACTTTTAAGATTCTGACAATTTTGACAGCATTTTAAGTTGAAAAAACGTTAAGCAGGTGCTAGGGAAAACAATTGAACGTTGTTGAAAACGATAATTGTAAGTAGTTTTACCAAAACAATACTGATTTACTTACCCTTTAGCAAAAGGTGAGAAATAGATGTAAAAATTGCCAAAACCCCTTCTTATATTGTAGCATAAAGTAATACGTTTAAACGCAGAGGGTCACGTGACGTGAGGGGGCCTTTCCACAAATATCCGGATATTTTTTGTGGGGGATACTTAAAAGTTTCCTGTTTAAGATATTTAGCGAATTTAGGGATATTAAGAAATATTCATAGCTTGAAGTTTTGGCTTAGCCCTGTGTTTTCCTTGCTATATTCTCGAGGCAGAAACAACCCAGTTAAGCGATTTCGAAATTGAAAAAAGTTTTCTAATAATTTTATATCACTACAAGTACTAAAGCCACAATTTAACAAAATGGCGAATACTGGTAACATTAGGGCGCCTGAATCGGCTTGCTCTACTCCTTTAGTATTACAAAAAAAATTGAAATTTTTTGCCGAAGGGATTCAAAATCGGTTCATTTTTTAACCAAACAATAAGGGATATTGAGGGTTTTCCGAGATATTTCGACCTTTTTTGTGATATTTAGAAACATTTTTGAGAATTTCCAGAAAGATATTTAGGCGATTTTACGTGATATTTGTGGAAAGGCCTAGAACTTATATATATTATATTTTACTGAATATGTGGTTCAGTTTGCCCTCGAGAGTGCTCAACAGTCATGTGGCTTCGTCTAAAGAAAGTGGACTGGACTAGAACGAGAACTAGGCCGGTCCACTTTCTTTACATTATATTTTATACATTTTTCCGGAACCTGCAGAAGATTAGTTCCAATAGCCAAAATATTGTTCATTGAGTCTGTCCTCATCTATTTTCTAGTACTGCCTTGTTTTATAGCATTACTTCTGAATTTTGATTTCTTGTAAAACAATTTCCCTATAGCTGTCAGTTCATTGATTCTCAGTACCAAGAGCCCATGCCATGGTCTCCTGTCAATACCCATATACTTGAGTTTATATTGATATTTTGATAAGAGAAAGTATGTTCTGATCATTGCTGAGACTTTGTCACATGTTACTGCGAACAGCTGTCATTACAGTCGTAACTGAACCGTTTTAGCCAAATGGTTAGCTGACGCGCTGGACTGCAAGCCCCGGTTGTTCAAAAGATGGATAGCGCTATCCAACGCATAAATCACTATTTAGTGGATGTGTGTGTGTTTTTTTACACCTATCTACAGTACTAAAAGCGATTTATCCGGTGGATAGTGTCACCCACCCTTTGAACAACTGAACCCAGATCAAATAGTTCAGTCTCAATCCCTGGGCGAGTAGCTGTGCTGTGTTTCTCTCATAGTGCCTCCCTCCACCCTGGAGTGTAAATGGATGCCGGTTGATCTTCTGTGGGGCAACCTAACACGACGCTGGGGAGGAACCTGCAACGGAATTGCATCCCAGCAACACTCCTAGCCGCTTCATGCTTTAGAAACCGGAGTTAAGCGCCCGCGAGATTAAAAATAATTAAGCATGGTTCGATAAAATGCTCCATCCAGCTCATTTTTGTCACACCAGACCAGCAGTTTCATTTCTCCATTATAACTTTTTACTTCTCTCACTATATTTTCAGGAAAAATGAATCAATCGAACGCCACAACAGATTTTTCTGATATCTCATCAACATCCGCTGATGGTACACATCTGCAGTATGACGCAATCCAGTCTGATGACGCCACCTGGATTCTGACGTCAGCATTCATTATTTTTACCATGCAGTCTGGTTTTGGTTTACTGGAGGCAGGAATGGTATCCAAGAAAAACGAAAGCAATATTATGGTGAAAAACGCCGTAGACGTCATCTACGGTGGCTTCGCCTATTGGTTGTTTGGATTCGGTTTCAGTTTTGGCCGGGACGAGGGAACGACAGCTTTCAATGGGTTCGGTAAATTTTTCACAGATGCAGAGGGAGATGAAATGGGCGACGTCTTTGCTAAGTACTTCTTCCATCTGTCGTTTTCCACGACTGCAACGACGATTGTTTCAGGGGCCATGGCGGAGCGCGTTGAGCTCAAGGCGTATATATTGTTTTCGTTTGTAAACACGCTGACCTACTGTTTTCCCGCGCATTGGATTTGGGAGCCAAAAGGTTGGCTTTACGAGATGGATGCTATCGACGTTGCAGGGTGTGGGCCGGTACATGTGGTCGGCGGTTTCAGTGGCTTGGTAGCCACGCTCTATCTAAAGCCGCGCTTGGGAAAGGTTGACGAGAACAACCGTCCCAAGCCTAACCCGATGGCCTCACCAACTAATGTCATGCTAGGGACGTTTATGTTGTGGTGGGGGTGGCTTGGGTTCAATTGTGGCAGCACGTTTGGAATCACGGGAGGAAAGTGGAAATTAGCATCGAGGTCAGTGAAAAGTTTGAACTTCTTGAAATCAAGCTTTACATGGGTGTGGGATAATGATGCAACTTTAACATTATTTTCTTCAAGGAAAAACCGATATTAGCAAAAAAACAATTACAGCAGGTTGTTATTTCTTTCAGAGCCGCTGTAGTTACACTAAATGGGGCAATTGGCGGAGGAATCTTTGCAACAGTGTTTAGGTGAGTAAAGTAACTTTTTCCGAATCTCTTCTAACAAAAACTTCTGCCTTCATAATGGAGGAAAACTCTCACATTTTACTGAACAAATTTTTGCAAACAAACACTATACTACGTGTAAGTAATGCTTGATAGCATTTGATTGATCACACACCAGGCGCTCAACGTAAAATTTATATCTGAGCTAATCTGTGTAGCATGGTAAAAATTACTACTATATGGAAGTACTCCCTAGATCCCTAGCTTGAGGTGGAAAAGTTTAACTCGACATTATATGCATCTTTGCTTTAATTTTATCTCCTTAGTTATCTGAAACATAAAAACCAGCTAATGATTGACGTATTTGTGACTGGGATTATTTCCGGGCTTGTCAGCATCACCGGTGAGGGTCACAAAACTATAACTAACCTAGTACTTGTATAATTTTTCTTACGTCTAAGTCTTGTTGTAACAGGTAATTACTTGGAGAGATCAAGCTATGCATAATACGAACTTCCTATAGCGGGATTTCGAACGATAATTTGGGATTTCGAGCAATAATTACAAATGAAACCAGTGTGAGAAAAATGTCTCCAAGCCGGGTAATATTTTTCAATTTATACAGGTAATCGTATGAATACGAGCGCAATTAAGGATCTCAAAGTAAAGTCTCAAAATTGCACGAACCTGTTAGCGAGTACGCATTTAAAATAACTTTCAAATATCACAAGTGACATAAATCCTTACCTGGTCGATCCTTCATACGACTGCTCATTTATTATATTACTGGGAAAGTTACGAAAGCGCGCGAGTTAATTTGAACCGTTGTGCAAGTAAAATATTAGCGATAAATTGGCCTGCTCTCAGCCAACCACAATGACAAACTTTTTCAGTGTGTAAAAAAGTAGAAATCAACATCGTTATTAATTCGAAAGAAAGGCAAGTTACAAATTCTGAAACTAGAAATGTTAATCACTACTCTTCGTCTCGTTTAAGCGATTTGTCCTCTTGTGTCTCCATGGGAAAGTCTGCTGATTGGTTTCATTGGTGGCGCCATCGGTTGCTTTGGAGAAATCTTCCTCGAGCGCATGCGTATTGACGATCCAGTTCATTGTATTACTACTCATGGCATCGCTGGCCTCTGGGGGTTGGTAGTGGTGGGACTATTTGTCGAGAAAAACCCTCTGATGTCCAAAAACTATGGCGTTTTCAAGGGAGGTAGCTGGAGAGTCCTTGGTGTTCAAGTCCTTACTGCTGTCAGCATTGTCCTATGGACATCGCTGACCACATTTGTTGAACTTTACGCGATAGATAAGTCTATTGGTCTGCGCGTGTCACGTGAGAAGGAGCTCGATGGAGCGGACAAGTGGGAGCATGGGATTGTTTTGGATGTAAACCAAGATATGTTGAGTGAGGCTTCCGGTCGGACGCTATCAAATAATGGCATGCAGGGTCAAGAATTGGTTATGGAAGAGATTTAAGATATGCCTAAAGGGGAATTTTTTGCCACAATAATACACATTGTTCTCGTGAAACTAATATAATAAAAACGCAGAGACAATGTTTGGAAGAACAAGAGTACAGCTCGTAAACTAACAAGAGTGCTGGTTTTCACTTGTGCAGTGAGACAAGGAGACAAAGTTATTTCTCTTACGAAATAAATTCTGCAAAGATGGCCTATAGCAGACAGCGGCGGAGGGGGTAGGGGCAGTACAGAATCTCTTTTATCTGTTTCTTGTTTATATAACTCATTGACGAGCAGACGACTCTGGCAGCTTTGTACAGGATCCAAAATAGAAAGAGAATTCCAAAGGGTCTTGATAATAGCAGGCAAGTCAATAATTTAAAGAAAACGACAAAACTGTTAAGTTTCAAAGACCAGTTTCGACAGAACCTACTGTCATCTTCAGTTGATTAATTAATGTACAAAGCGTTGCAAGTTGAATTTATAATAAGTACAAAAATACTAATTGTGATGAATAGTGACAAAAAAAATGAAGCAAAGCGTGAAAGTGTGAGAATAGTTTTAGATTTACATGGTGTAATTGTTGATTCAAAGAGGGTTGTTCTCTTTGAATATGAATAGCCTCTTTTGTCTTAAGTTGGAAACTACTGGAGGCGTGATCCAAAACATGGAAACAATCTGCTGAACATAAGGCGCGACAATGCTCAGAATTCTGCAGATGTTTAAAAATGTGAGAGGCCTTATCACTGGATAAATACTCTCTCACACGCGTGGAAAAATGCCGGACCGTTTTGCCGACGTAACAAGCATTACAGCCTGTACATGCAAACTTATAAACCACACGTGTACCGAAACCGCCAGGAATAGGGTCTTTCACACCAAACATGTTACCGATCTTGAAAGAAGAAAAAACTAGTTTCATAAATCATTACAATAGTGCTTAATTAATGAAATGGCAAAGCTGTAGGGTAGCTTAAAGTAAAACGTAGGTGAAGTGGGGGGGAAGGAACCCCGGAGACAAAGATTGCTTTGTGTCCCATTGATGTAAAGATTTATGACCTTTTCAATTAAATGGGCGGGGAAAGAGAATTACGATAGGTGTATAGAAAGGAGATTTTCTTTGATTTGCAATTTTAAAATACAGATGCGTCATGAATTTGAGTAATGAAGTGCTGAAATCATCCAATCTGATGATGTCGCTGGGCAGAGATAAGTAAAGCGTTGATGCTTTATCTTGGATTTCCGCGCGCAAGTGGCAACCAATCAAGGCCGCGCGATTTATGCAGCGCCACGTCTCGAGTCTGGAATTCTGGGAACTGAATCCCAGTCTTTTCCATCGAGGACTACTCAACACAATAGAAACATGCTTGAAAAGTAGTTGTTATTTTAATATGATTGTTTAATAACAGCTTTTAGGTGTGATCAGTAAAACATTCGCAACAGTTGGTTGTACAGTCCTGTGGGCTTCGTTACGTCTTTTTCAATTTATTTTAAAAATTTAATATAATCTTAAATTTGAATTTTCCTAAGATACCCTTTAGTGTGAATAGATATTGCCTACTGACGCTAAAGGCTAACAGACGCTTGACTTATAAAATAGTAATTCAAATCCTACCTGTCAACGAATAAGTTACTAAACGATCAACGCGTAACTGAGTTTTCATCTAATTTTTAAAAGCAAATTATCGTTAAATAGCTAAAAACTTGTTATTTCGTCAAATGACAAATAAAAGTTGAAATTATCGACTGTATGTTGTAAAAAAATGTGTAAGTGGATTTTATAGCCCATAAAAGGCTTTCTCTTGCGTTCCCCTTCCTTTCTCTTCATGCGTTCTCTTGGTCCCATCCTCGACTAGACAGCCTTTCACTGGCTACCAGAAAACGGATAACTATTCAACTGTCGACCCGTAACGACCAACGGACATTTTTCTACCGTTAAGCATTAAGGAAGACTCCAGTGGGATCATAAACAGGCAAATGAGTGTACCATTCATTAGGGACCTGGACGCAGTACGACGCTGTCAAGTACCGCCTATTGTTAGAATTATCCTCGAATTAAGGAAGAATTGCACAGTAATTTCGCAAAAAGTTTTAAAGTATGTAAAGACCTGACATGCACCTCTGCCAAGCTTCACGATCGTGACTAAAACACCACATGAGTATATACGAGTAACATACGAGTACATACGAGTACCTACGAGTACCTACGAGTAGCTTACGAGTTCATACGAGTAGCATACGAGTACAAACGAAAAACATACGAGTACATGTATACGAGTAACATACTAGTGCACACGAGTAACATACGAGTACATACGAGTAACATACGATTATATACGAGTAACATACGAGTACATACGAGTAACAGACGAGCACATACGAGTAAAATTCATCGCTATCACAATTCCCAAAGGAAGTCCGTGTAGGCCTTTCATCATCTTTTGTTTTCATAGCGCTATGGTTTGTTGCAGTTCTGGATTATGTCTGGTTACAGTTACCCGTCTGACTAACTTATAGGTTATTGTTCAATTTTCAATATACATTGATTAATATTTTGTTAAGTGGAAAATTCATTTCAAAGTAATGTTATTGTTTCCAGGCTTAATATAACCGTTTTCTGACCTACACTATGGAAGGGTATGTTATTGTACATAACCAATAAATTTAATCTGGATTAATATATATATATATGGATTTTAAATGTACTTATGTTAAGAAAATAACCAAAAATTTGCAAATTTGAAAGAAAGTTAGACTGTTTTACCCCTTACTTGAGGAAAGGGAGATGGGTTCAATTCATTGAACAGCACGCCACACACACGCCGAGGCTTTTACTATACTTTTAATTCAAGGAAAATAACTCTATGAGACATTTGCGCGCGCTAAATCTTGTGTGCAATCATCGTAATCTGCGTTTATTTGACGCGAAGCGTCGTATCATATCACATCAGCGCTCAGGTTTGTTTGTGCGTGTGTGACGCGCCTACGACGGACGTATGTATGTGGCACATGTGCATGCGTCTAATAGGCGCGCGTGTGTGGCACTTGCAGGCGCTCACGTGTGTGTGCCAGACATGACCCTCACACATTCAAAAATGAAATGTAAAGAGAAAAATGATACTCTCCTGCCACCGTATGTTTGTCCTCTGTATTCGTATGTAACCAATGTATTCGTATATAACCTGTTTATTTCCGTATGTCTGTATGTACCCGTATGTTACTCGTATGTACTCGTATCTTACTCGTATGTAGTCGTATGTTACTCGTATGCACTCATATGTTACTCGTATGTACTCGTATGTTACTCGTATGCACTCCTGTTACTCGTATGTAATCGTATGTGCTCGTATGTTACTCGTATGTACTCGTGTGGTGTTTAAGGCACGATCAAGCTTCACTGCAGATGATTACTGCTTAATTTCTGTTGCTACCACACTTCCATTTGCTAACTGTACGTTACATGTATCACATTCGGCTCCACTATCTAGATTTACTCCGCCATTACTAAACGAGCTATTCATTGGAAATGTGCCATTACTCAAGTTATCATTTTGAGGGCTCCTAAATGAAACTTTCCTCCGCCACTTTGGTCGAAGAAGTCTCCTTCGAGCGCGAATAACATTCCTTGAAGTGCAGTCAATCTTAGCGGCTTCCAAACCAATCAGATTTACCTCTACTGATTTCAATGCGCCTTCGTGTCCATTTTCTTTCGCGTTGACGCCATAACTGCGTTGAGTTGAGTTCGGATCGTGTTCGTCGATTCCATGCTCCACTTTGTCAGCCCCCATTAACTCGTCCTCCACACTCATGCGCAGTCCCAACAGCCGATTAACCAATAGCAGCTCAAGAAATGTTGTTAGCGCAGCCCAGGTGGAAACAGCGACGACCGTGAGCAGCTGAACACCCAAGAATCTCCAAGGACCGCCCTTGAAGATTCCAAACTCGTTAGAGAATCTATTTTCGAGGATATCTTTTTCAGCAAAGAAGGCGACGGACAATAGGCCCCAGATTCCTGCCACACCGTGTGTGGGCACACAGCCCACAGGATCATCGATACGGAGCCTTTCGAGAAGGGCACATCCAGGGCAGGCTAGGAGGGCGCCTATTGCACCAATTACGATAGCTTCCCATGGGCGAGTAAGAGAACAGATTGCTGCGTATTAAATGAAAGAAGATGAATGACTGATGAGCACTGACTGAAGAAAATAACAAAACTACCAGACGCAACATGATACGCGTGCAATTCCATTGCATTGCATGAGAATATTCTCAAACTGTTGGCTACGAGCTCCGAGTCGAAACTCTACTTTACTGACAACGTTCGTTTTTCATGAAAATAGGACTCATCGAACTCGCTTCTGAGCTAGAAGCGCTAAACACGACAATGGAGGGCGTTTTTAATTTAAGATGATCATAACTTGTTTACCAATTATTTGCTTGATGTCACTGCTGTGACCGAGGAGGAATGGTAGTAATTAACTAATGTAGAAGTGCTGATGAATGCTAAAAACTGTTCCTCGATTTTCAATGCGCCAAAGTGTGTAAGTCTTTTTTGTCAAAGCTTGTCAAAACCTTCTGTCATAGACCTTGTCATGTGACGAAGATCTGCAAATATCCTATACGTCTAGATCAAAATAAATTTTTTTAGCAACCAATAAGAAAATCAAAAAAGCCACAGACATTTTTGTAGTCCGTCATTGATTGACATGGTTCAGTTTGTTTGGTCGTACGTGCGTGGACGAAGACAGGTAATTCAGTTTAGCAAACATTTTCAGTTTTGCATTTGAAGGCTCGCGTGTCCTTTAAAATAATCATTTCTTTTGACGCTCCGGTGGTGTATACTTTTCTATGGTTTTGTTAAAAACGACGCCAGTACGAAAGATTTTCGGAAATTAAAGACATACTCAGATAGGTAACCTAGATGGTCCGAACAACTCGGACTAAATGTTAGCTGCAAAAGTGGCATCACTCAACGCAAATTAATTTACCTGTTATGCTGACGAGCCCAGCCAGAATCCCAGTCACAAAAATTGGAATGTTTAACTTGTTCTTTAAACAAATGTAGCTGAAAGTAACAGCAAATGGAATAATTTCATGTAAAGATGTCAAGCCATCCTT